ATAAATCTGAAGTTGGGAAGGGTTGAATCAATAAGAACAGCTGCACTGTCATAAAATCAAGGTTGTGCTTGATATGACATCAGCAGTTAAAATATATTGCCTGCCAAAGATCTGATGTTTACTAAAGCCAGATTTAATGTGTTAACATCATTATCTTACAATATTAAACCCAACAGTTCCCACAAGAAGCAAGCATGTCGACAACTGGAAGAAACTTCAAGCAGAGCCAGGCTCCATGTGGGCGGCCATCTGCCCCAACTGCCTGGGGTGAGCAGAGAGAAATTGGGCAAAGAGGACAGGATGGTTGAAAATAGGGGAGAGAGTGGTTGGGGGAGGACACCAGGAATAGTTTTGTAACAATAACAATAATAATAATAATAATATGAATTGCTCTTGTTATTGTGTAGTGCCAGAACTGAGGCCTGTACTACGAAGCAAGTTCAACATACGCAGGATATCTTTTCTAGTCTATACAGCATAACTAAGTGATGGTTCAGGACTCACCTGATCCAGAACTAACTATAGGCTTTATCAAAAAGGAACGTTTTAAGTTTAACTTTAAATGCTGAGATGGTGTCTGCCTCCCGAACCCAGAGTGGGAGCTGGTTCCACAGGAGAGGAACCTGGTAGCTGAATGCTCTACCTCCTGTTCTACTCTTACAGACTCTTGGAACCACAAGTGAGCCTGTATGTAGAGAGCAAAGTGATCTATTGGAATAATATGGTGCCAAAGGCTGTTTAATATATGATAAGGCTTGAGTGTTAGGGGCTTTGTGAGGGGCATAGCTACTGAATGCCACAAAAGAAAATAGACAAAGAAACATGAATTAAACAAAAGGTTTTTATTTGGTTTTAGGCATGTTGGAATATGTCGCAGGAAGGAGAAAAGTTAAGAGTTAAGTCTGACATGCAGATAGGACAGTCTGAAGGCACACAGAGACCAAGCTGTTTGGTAGAAAATAACAAAGTTACTGCTGTCACAGTAAGCAGAGACTTTCATCTTTTGAGTATTGGTAAATTAAAATAATCCCACCTTGAATATTATTTGTTTTTAAATAAAAATAGTGTTTGTCCTATGCCCATTATCATTTGTTTGTTTTGTGCTATTTTCAGACTAAGTTGCTATGGACACATTATCTGAACACTAAATGACAATGAGTATTTACTTTGTTATATGAGTTTGGCAGTTTCCAGGAAAAAGGCTGCCGTCAGCTTGTAATTTGCTTCACAACTTAATGACTTAGAGAGGAAGTCCTCAGGCTGAAGACATGAATATAGAGTCAGTTCAAACAAATCACAAGAAAGCATATTTTGTGTATTACTTCATGTGATATCTAGCAATCAAAAGTAGAAATTATAACTGCTGTTGTACTTCTACTAGAATTATATTCAAATATTTTGAATTATTATAAGTGAATCAATGTAACTGTTGCTGAACATAATAGGCACTGTGGCAATGGGTGACAATAGACTAGATATATGCTTCAACATAATGTAACTGATGCGGTGAAGAAGAGAAGAATAGTCGGTAAACAAATTAATGCCAGTAACTCAACAATATCTCTATGAATTTGCCACCATCATTCCTGCGCATACCATGCCAGGTAGGACTGTAGTAGTTGTAATAAATGATGTATAATCTATGTGTTTGTGTCCTTGTGAATGGTTGTGCAGTGGAGAGAAACAATGTGATTCCGTATTTCAGAAGTTATAGTAATATTACAATGTTGCTGCCTGATGTAAAGCTAGAGCAATCACATGTATATCCATGCAAACGTAGTGGGCTGGTGACAAACACTAAAATGGTTAAACCCAAACAATAAGATATTTTGGGGTGATTTTTTGGGTGATATTTAAGTGTGTGAATTTAAATGGAAAATAAATGTTTAAATTTACAGTGAAAACCTTCTAAGTGACGGATTGGTCTCTGTTTTCCACTGTAACCTACCAGTCAGTTCTCCATACCTTCTCAATTTGGCTATAGACCAAGGACAAGACCTCAGTCTCAACAGGGTAAAGCTTTAATTTTGCAGTTGGCTGCAATACATCAGTGGAAAGCTTAGAGAACGTAGAAGCACTTATCATCATTAAAGCTTTGTTTCTCGTTGGTACTAGCAGCCAGTTTCTACTTTACTATATATTTTTTTATTTTTTTGTAGCTTTTTGTTTACTAGTCACTGGCTCTTTAAGGCAGAAAGCAAGTTTGGCTAAAAAACAATTTGGTCCCCAGACAACTCAAGCTCGAAGACCATCACAAAGCAATCCTAAACACTTTCTTAGCATCCTTACACATGTCAAACAAGAAAACATTCGAAATCATCATAATTATTTTTCATGAGCTCTAATAATATTAATAATAACAATAGAAACTTTCAAAACAAAACATTTGTTTTGGCAACTTCTCGTGTGCTCAGCGGGAGGAACAAAAGACTCAAATGAAAAGAGATAAAGAAATGAGTGGTTCAAACGGAAGTTACAGATGCTTTCCATTTTAAAATCTAGTTTAACTACACACTTCACACAACAAAAACATATTTTAGGTCTTCCATATCAAATACACTTTTTGGCATCACATTGGCTTAATAGCTCTCAGTAAGAAAGGAGGTTTATGAGTTTTATACTGCTCTGCTTTGAATAAACCTTAACACTCATACAGGGGGAAGGTAAACCTTGAGGAACATTAAAGCTTGAGGCAACACACACTTTTAAATTCAACCTGAAATCACAGCCAGTTTTTCCTTCCCAGTCAAAACTAATGCTAGAGTGACCATTTAAAAGTATCACTATTGTTCACTGAAAGTAGAAAGATGTTTGGAAAAACTCCAGAATCGGTCATTCAGCCTCTCACTTGGTCATTGGTCAATTCCAGCTGAACTTTGAGTGTTGGTGTCGTCTTTGGTGATTAACTTGAATCTAAATGTGTAGTTCCCTCTAAAAGCTGCTGTCCTCAAGGTTCGCCTACTCTTAGCTCTTCACACACATACAGCATGTTATCACTCTCACAGTTTCTGTGCTTTATAAGGTAGTGAAAAAGTTAAGACTGTGAATGTTCAAAATGAAGAGGTATTTGGTTACATATTTTTTAAAGATAGCTAAATAGTTGGAAATTACTCAACTACTTTAAAATAGAAAGCAAGTATTCCTTATACTATTGACATAAAAGTCTTTTTAAAATATTTGACATCTTCATTTGGTCACTTTAAAGGTTAGAATTAACAAAATACAGTTCCATGCTGAAGGAGTGCACCTGGAAAAACATCCAAACTAAAGCACATAAAAGCAAAGGAAATGAAATTATGTAGTAAATTATTTTGGCTTGGGTTCAGTTAAAGCACTTAACACACAGGTGACACCTTTCAAACAGGAACAGTCCAAAA